ATTTTGTAGTTTGATGTAAATTTGAATAGGCAATGATTCTAACACTCTTGAATGTAAAGAATTATGTGGTTAGTGTTATGAAATTTCAAAAGTTCAGTTTCTGTGATTAATGTGTTCCAATCTGTTGATTTCTTTCTGAACTCTTCTTTAGTTGTTTTCATTTTTTTTAATTAGGTTGTCTGGAAGCAGAATTATTGCAGCATATTTGATGTTCTTAAGTATAAATTTCTGTTTGACTCATTGCAAGTAATCCTAAGACGCTGATGAGAAATTTCACTGTCTTTGAATTGCTTCTGTGTTTTTAGATTCCTTCAACCAGACAGAAATCATGAATTAGACTGATGATTTGGAGATATTGTCTTGTACATGGGAAATATTCACATGGTAAACACAGGGACTGTGTATTTTTTTGTCACTAATGCTACTCAAATAGAGGCTACTGACAGGGAATTAAACAGGGGCTGAGGTGCTTTCAATGGCCCCTGTTTGAGTAGCCTCTCTCTATTTTTGTACATGTAGTGCAGTTTCAAATTTAGCTGATCATGCACTAGTCATATTTCGTCTTGCCATGCGCCTATTTTTGGCATGTTTAATAGTGTGAAAATCAATTGTTTGATGTTACGTTGAGTCATATTAATAGCTTCATTTGTGCCCTCACGGGAGCCTCTAACAATTCTTCATGCTCGTATTGGCATGTAGACCCATTCCAATGTTGACCACTGTGAGATGGTCCTACTGGGAAAGTCAGCACGGTACCTGGCTGCCGGGGCCTAGTTGGACACCATTAAGGTTCATGTGTTTAGCAGCTTCTGACCAATTGACCATACTAAGAAAGGTTTTGATATAAATCATTTCAAGCAATCTCCGGCTTTCATGGTTGAAGTTGTAGTATACTATGATGTCTATACGTTTGTATCTGCGTATATTGTTTATCAATTTGAAAATATGAATCACATGTACTAAAGTATTTCAAACGTATATTTGTGGGTCGCGAACACGTATATTTGTGCTTTTAAAACGAGCAAACACATTTGGCGTGTGCAGAAAGTTTCATCTACTGGTAAAAGTTGTAACAACTGTTCTTATTCCCAAAGCAGCATTCAAATGTACCGAAATTTGGCAACTGGGAAATCGAAGAAAATGATGTCCCCTATACAGTCTTCTTCGATAAGGCAAGAAAAAATAAAGGTGGGAAGATGATAAATCCGAATGATCCCCAAGAAAATCCAGATATGTTTCGCAATTTTGCTCCATCTCCTCCGCCTCCAGCTCCCCGTGTCTGCTTCTACATCAAAGCCGAGAACTAGACCCGATAAACCAGTTGGAAGCGGAGCACTCGGGCCAACCCCTGATCATAGAATGAGCAGGGAAGAAGGTGATTACAGGAAATTTACTAATTCTCCAGCTTGGAGTGAACATATGGGTCGGAAAACTGTTAATGAATTGACTCAGCAAAACTATGGAGGCAGTGGAACGAGATATGGTCGACCTGCAAGGTCTAGTGCAGGATCGGAACACAGCATTGATTGATCACCTCTTCATCCGCATTACCAGGCCAAGATTGTGGAAGGAGGTAGTGGATCTCCTGCTCAGGAAGGAAAGAACTCATATGACAGCAGTCATGGTAATCCTGGAAGATCTCGACTAAAGCCTGCTATTCGAGGAGCTGAAAGTGTAAGTTTTCTTTCAAGATTTTGTATAATTTTATAGATTCACAACCTTTCTTATAATTTGATTTTATTGCATATGGCAGACTGATAGAGGTCCTGCTGTTCCAAAATTTGGTGAATGGGATTAGAAGTATCCACAATCNATGGCAGCCTGATAGAGGTGCTGCTATTCCAAAATTTGGTGAATGGGATGAGAAGGATCCTCAATCAGCTGAAGATTTCACCGGCATTTTTGACAAAGCACGAGAAGAAAAGCATACGGGGCCTGGAAATGTCTCGACCACTCCAAAGCATCAGTCTTACGTCGCACATAATCATCAACCAAAAGAGAAACATAAGGTTTGTGGATCACATACCTATTTTCAATCTTTTTGTCTCAAATGCCACATGATTCTGAGTATTTTACTGTTCCTCGTTCTCCTTTTCAGAAATGCTGCTTTCCATGGTGGTAGAGCACGACGATTACACATTTCCTTTGATTTTCGCTCTTCCAAAATCCAAAATTACTCGGCTGAAAGAAAGAAATTTAAAGAGAGGTGGGAGAGTTTTTTGTTCTAATCTACCACATTGCTATTGTTTTTGAGATTTTGTGTCATCTGTCACATTTTTTACTTTGTTCTGTTTTCTCAAGGCATTGTTTCCTTCAACTAATTATAAGAAGCAAGTTGTTCCTATTCAAACAAAGAAAAGAGAATCACATTCCCAAGGAAAGGGTGACCTACCATAGCGTTGGGACAAGAACTCCAATTAGAGTTCCATCGACGTACACGAAATGGACTCTAACTTGCTCCTCC